TCAGACATAATTTTATTGGTTTGACCACACTCTTTTCAAATATCAAATAGATATAATTCTTACAATTTTCATTTTACAAAAAATTTAATAAACATTCATGCACAATAAGAATTATAACATAATAACATAGTTGTGAAGATATTTATTTGATCTCCAAGTTATGTTTTTTTTTTTTAAATTTATTCTTAAAATATGTCAAAGAATTCCAACTGGTATTAAATAGTTTCGTATTCCAAATTATTGCACCATTGTAACAGAAAGTTTTTACTACGTTATAATTTGTGCGGTGTTTGGGAATACCTTTATCATTATATGATCTTTATTGTAAATTTCATTGCTGGAAAAAGTCAAATTTTCAGGCTAGGTTATTACAAGCTTTATAAATAAGAGTTCCACTGGGAAATTATATCGCTTGTTTAATGGCATCACTCCAGGTTAGTTTTCCTTGATATCTTTATTCGAGAAGGTTTTTTTGGTATAAAATAATCCCTGCAGCTCTAATTTGTATTTAAACTATGAAACCTTAAATTTCCTTTGCTCAAAACAGTACAACAATAATCAAAATTCGATATTATATATGCATTATTTGAGAGGTCATTAGACCTCTCCATAGTGTTCAGACCGATTGCTGGCGGCATCCATTTTTGCGTATCTGATTGTAGCGAATGAATCTCAATTTAAGCGTCAAAACATTAGTAGCAGTCTACAAAAATTGTTTCGCGCATGCCCCGTTTCAAAATACGGCTTAACTTAAACGAAAAATTAACATCGAAGTGAACAAATCGGTACATAGAAAAATCGCTACGTGGATGTTGCATTCCGTTTAATCTTTTAAACTCTATAAATCGATGACCGTATTATTTTCTGAATAACGTTTTACTATTTCATGTTCCGATAAATAGTAACAGTGAACATTATACAGCTACAATATCACCATGCACTATTATTATATGACCCAGTGAACCGTGTATTGAACCGGTATGACTAAATAACGCAACGGAGATTTTTTGGCGCAAATGGCACAAATTTTACTCAAGTTTGATTTTCTTCTAATATTGTGGTTGGAGGCATGCAGCTTTATATATACTGTTTATTCCAATCAAATGATATAAACATTTTTTATGTAAATCTGGGACTTAAAATTTTGATTAACATACTTTATACCCGTTTTGGAAAATGTAGAGGAAATGTTTCCTTATACTTAACAAAACAGAAATCGAAAATTTGCTTATTGAACTTTACAAGAAACTTTTATTTTGATACTACTTTTAATATATATATATATATATTTTAAATTTAATTCCCTTTGTAGAAAAAGTATCCCTAATGCGCCAAGAAAAAAGTCCATTTCTCCGTCATATAATCTTTCAAAGCATTAAAAAAGATGAAGTGTAAAACAAAAATTCATAACAATATATATAATAAATTTTAATTGTTAAATAATTGTAATTTATATACCATTCATTGTGTCTTTTATGTCATATAATATCCCAAAATATTTTCGAATTAAATAAATCTTCAATAGCAGCAAAATACCTCTCGCATGCTTCTTTTTAAAGAAGCAAACTTGTAAAATAAATGTATAATTTTATATGTCATTTAATAATTTAAACGCCTCAATAATACTATTTTTGAGTTTAGTTTCGAACCAGTGCTTCAGGTTGGTATATCCAGGACAACTACGAGTATTATCTATGTAAACACCTATAAATATTTTTTTGTGTTCGTACGTTTTCAATTTATGCTTAGCAAATAGTTAATTATAATAATTAATTTTATTAAACATATCTTTGCTCTTTCTACGGAATGAAAAATATATTCATTTCTAAGGCATTATGTGCCTAAAGAACCTCACAAAAAGAAAACAACGTTTTGACATAATTACTATCTTTATTTCTATTATACATGCATAGACACAAAGTAAATGTATATCGACAAGAAAAAATGGTACAGACAAGACAACGAAAACAACTAAAGCAATAAAAAGAGACATATTTTTTTTTCATACATAAATGGAATAGTAAAAACTGAAAATTGTAGAATATTTTATTTAATTATGTACTGTATAGTTTCAAGCCTTTTTGGAAAGAATAAGGAACTTTTTCATGTGCAATGTATTTGAGCATAGAAATACATTCCACGGCAAAGGAAAAATAAATTTAAGAGAACAAAGTAAACATTGTTTTGTCTCATAATATAAAAATTTGATGCTTCACAAAATAACAAATGGATAAATACCAACTTGCAACAAGCAGTTTAACGCGATCAAAAATATCAAATTAGAAATAATATAATAATTTTGATCTTTTATGATTAGCTGTATATTTATATTATTTCGCTACTTTTATCCTCTGTATATGTCCAAACAGGTTAAACATTTGTTGCCTTATATCAACAATTTATGGTAAATTAACAAGAATCCTACAAGTTAAACGGTAATCACAAAACCAATCAACAGATAAAGTTATAGAAGAACTGTCGTACTCCACCATACAGAAAAATAAACTAAACTAAATAAATAAATAAATAAATAAATAAATAAATAAATAAATAAATAAATAAATAAATAAATAAATAAATAAAACAAAAAACTAAAGACATCCCAAAATAAGGCAAAACTCCCATAAACATTTACAAATTTCTTTATGAGAACTTCACAATGATTACTTTGTCTCCCTTTTTTTTGAAATGACTGAAATATTCATTCAAACATCACAAAACACAATCGCTTTAAGTCTTCATTAATAATTTATAATACAGCTGTATGGGAAATATCAAAATACGTAATAAAGATACGTAATAAAGATTTCATAACCATTGTAGCTCTATAAATAATTACGCAAAGCTATGGTATTAAACATTACTACACAGTATAGCTTGAAACTATATTGTCAATTAAAATGTTATCAGATATAAGGCTATACGTTGAAAATTTTTAATCAAACGGACAGTATACCCATGCAAATGTTGGCACATTTTCTTGACTTTGGTCACAATTAATGACGGAAGAGACATTAAAGCCTGTTGAAAAATATATCTTTCTAAAGACGATTTTGTTTCGTAATGTTTTGACAAATTACACAACGGATCAACATTATATCATATTGTTTTGTTTTAATCTGATTTGACTGATATGTTATTGTCACGTTATAAAAGATGGCTTTTGTTGCCAGTGGGTCATCAATTTAGTAAGTGTCTCAGTACTATAGTCCTTGTCACCGTTGTTTTATTTATCGTATTCCTTATTTTTTCCCCGACTACAATAAAAGTTGATTAGGAATTTTTTTTTTTAAATTTTATTTGAATCATATTAGCTTAATAAAGCAGAGAAGAAAGTGAGATCCCTCAAGACCTTTCGCTGGCTATACACAGTAGAATAACAATGTTTATTAACTTTCATTAGATCGATAATTATATATTGAGGGTTTTGTATTACCAAACGATGTAGCTATGCCTATTCAAAATATTAAAATATTTTTGATCAATTTTGACGTTGGAACTGAATATGACCTTTCGTTTCCTTAGTTTAAATAAAGTAATATGAAGATATGTAACATTTTGATTTCAATGGAAAAGTTTTAAACTTATTGTTACTTATTTGTAAATAAAACTTATTTTCAAATGACTAAATTTGTAATAGATATGTAATGCATTTTATTAGGTTGTACAGTATGTATCATTATGCAAACTTTGCATTTTAATTTGGTTAGCAATGAAGCTATGGATTTGTCATTGAATCTCTTAACTTTAGTTATACTGTAAAAATTCAAAGGGCAATAAATTAGAACATTAAATGATATTCAGAACAAAAAAATCAGATATTGGCTCCTTTACAAGTACGTTTATTTGTGTATAAATTGCTTACGTGTGAAATATTTCATAAACACTACGAACAAACTAGTTCACAGTGATAAATTTTATCCAATGAATTGCATGTAGTCCAAAAAAATAAAAGCCGTTAAATGTTGGGGAAAATCCCTGTAAGCAGATGATTTTGTATTAAATTCAATCCTAAGTGCCTGTTATTCAAGCAAATTCTGTCATCTTCTGACGTGTAGATAGATAAAAAGTTGATATTTTGACCCAGTTTCAGGTTAATTGAGCTTTAAAAAAAAAAAAAAGAGTTGCAACTTTAAAGGCCCATTAAGTCCCAAATACTAATTTTATTTCTTTCAATGTTGAATATATTTTTGTTGTTTTGTTACAGCTTGCGAAATGTTACATATTGCCCGTTTTATTGGACACCTGACTTATTTTGATGTTGGGGAATAAGTGCTACATTGTATTTTATATAGAAGGCCACTTTGATTAAGTTTATCTACTATTATGAGATATTATTTCACATTCAGCTCTACTTTCTTCACATTATTCATACCTAACACGATTCTAATTCTTTAATTAAAACAATAAAACATTGGTTGTCTTTCTTGCGGAGGAAAATTTTATTTTTATTTCTCAGCATTAAAGGAGCATACCTCCAAAATTCATGGATTTTTTTATTAAAATTTTGAAAATTATAAAAAGTGGAAAAAATATTAATTTACACATTGCAAACGGCTCTAATAATCTACTTAAATTAACAAAAAGAGGACAGAAATACAAAAAATAGCCCGTACTGCGTAAGTAATGCCGTAGAAATATGATGATGAATTCTGCAAAATCAGTCATTAATTATACATAAAATGTTATCTCTTACTTGAAACTTTTCTACTTTTCTTAAAATCTTTAGTACATTTTTTCTCAAGTTAAATTTTCTTTAAACATTCTGACTTATCTGGAGGCATGCAGCTTTAATGTGCCTTTAAGAAAACTACAAAGCATAAATGGCGATTGATGTAAATCAGATCTCCTTCTGCAATGTCAAACTGTCCCAAACTTAATCAATTAAAAACTATAACTTGTGCAGCGTGACAATGACACAAATAAATAGGTTACTTCCTTTTTGAAAAAGGGTATAAATATCAAGGTCTTTTGCAGGACGGAATATTCAGTAATAAGTTATGGGATCCACAGCTGTATTCCTTATATTCTTCAACTTGTTGAATGTTAATTGTTTAGAAGGAGAGACCCCAGCATTAAAGGTATATATAAATTTTCTGTAATCTTACTCTTTCATAAATTGATAAGTACATTGTATAAACTGGTTGAAACTCATTTATGAAGATAAATGAGCCACGTCACGACAAAACCAACATAGTGCGTTTGCGACCAGCATGGATCCAGACCAGCCTGCACATCCGCGCAGTCTGATCAGGATCCATGCTGTTCGCTTACCAACTCTATTACAAGTGGAGAAATTGACAGCGAACAGCATGGATCCTGATCAGACTGCGCGGATGCGACGCTGGCTGGTCTGGATCCATGCTTGTCGCAAACCCATCATGTTGGCTTTGTCGTGACGCGGCTCAAATGCTATTCTACAAATAACAACATACAAAAGAGTTCTTTGCTTTTCAATACAATATGTAGAATACCGAGAAATAAGATGATTTATTGTCAACAAGTACTGTTTTTAATATATGTTGAGTTTGTGTTAAGACGTGACAAAACATATACATCTTATATCTAAGTGAACAAAGATATGCTAGAAATTAGCTGGACACCTGTAGAACCATGTCCACACCTGCATCAGCAGACAACATGAATCAGTATGATTATTGAATGTATCTCTTTTTACCCTTTGGCACATATTTTACAAGGAGATGCACATGATCAATACATGTCTTATTTGATAAAAATTGAACTTAATATAAAAACTGAAACATTTGCAATAGATTCAAGTGGTTTCAAGTGAAATGGATTGTGGAGATTTGTACTTAACGCTCTTATAATATACTCTAATACTTACTTACTCACTGGCGTTCGCACGTATACTCTGATGAGGTGATATAAAGCAATCACAAGCACATGCTACAAAACTACTTGATAATGCTATATTAAATGTAACAAAATCACCAGAAGATAAACATCCCTACCTTTACGTTCGCGCACGACTGCAGCACCATTTATTTAACGAACGCTATTAAACGATGATTTTTATTTTAGAAAATGATATTTGATAGTCACGAGAAAATAAACCACATACCTTATATATATTTGCGCACAACATTAACATCTTAAATCGCACACCTGAGGTGCTAAAGCTGTGATTTCAAACATTTTTTTCTGTTGGTTTTTATTTTCATCGAAGATGCCAATACTCTCAGCTGAATTATTTTTGTTTTCTCGCATGTCATGACAGAATCAGAAATTCAGTTTCAAAGATTTTTAATAAAATATACCTTAATTGATACAGAAATCTGTTTAGACGATAGAATCTTAATTTATTTTTTTCTCATGTTTTCATTTACACATACAAATCAATATACGACTAAGCTATAATCGTGTGCAAACATTAAATGTTAAATGTTCTACTTATTTAACTTCATGGCTCAATAATACTTGTTTGCGCACATAAAATCACTTGACTCTAGCCATCTTGGTTTATAATGTAGCTAGGTATGCTGGGTTATTTTTTGCGAGGAAGCACCAATATTGGTTACGGCTACTGAGGTATCTGGTCGTGCCTGAAATAATGCACCGAGTTGCACTTGAGGTATTCCTTCACCAGTAGAGCTGGGATGTCGTCATTTGTCTTTCACCATGTTGGTTATTAACTTGAATTAGTATGATGCTTCTCTTGAGATTTAGATGGTACCATGTGAAATATTGTTGCAGGTTACAACACATGACGCGACAAGTAATACTTGTGACATCCAAACTTTACAAGTTGAGTATGACCTGATTGTTGAGAAATGTGACAAAGATATAGACGGATCGCAAATTTGTACAGTCAGCGACGGAGAAAATTTTTATGAATATAAATGCGTCAATCAAGTTTGGGAATTGGCACCGGGAACAGGTAAAATGTTTTACAATGCGCTGAAATTTGTATGATAAAATGCACTGTAACGATTTTAGAATCTTCTGGATGTCCCTGTTTGAATGTTGCAAATCTGTCTTACTCAATGTTGCCTATTGTTGATAATTATCTTTTTGCTTTTATTTTTTGTCATATTTTTACTTTGTGATTCTTTTGTAATTGCAGATCCTCATGGAAGGGAAAAGAGAATTATCTTTTACTTACTTTATAGATTAATAAGAGCGATATATTGCGCCGCATCCGGAAAATGTTATAAAAGTAAGTCTGACTTCGATTAATTAATGTTTAAAAATATAAAATGGCATTTTATTTTATTTTTATTAGTAGGGGTTGTACAAATTTGAAACGGTTATGGCGATTTTCCAGCTTTAGTGGTGGAAAAAGATCACAGGTGCCACTCCGTGCATTATTTAAGTCACGAATGGGCACATGAGTAGATCTACGGACGTTTCGTTAATTTTTTAAGATAACTTACTATCGGGAAAGAATCAAAAGCCCCTTGTGGGATTCCTAATCCGCAGCCGTGTGGTCAAGTAGTTTGCAGTCAGTGCTCTTACCACTCGTTTATGGGGGCTCTTATAAATAACAATATTGAAAAAGCTATACAAAATGTTTGAAGGATTAAAAAATAAGGAGAAAATTCCTGTATTTCCATCAAATATAAGGACTGTTATGTAATCTTTACATGCCTAATTATAAATTTCTTAAACAAATATTTGCAAAGACACATTCATTGCCAACAGTTGCTTCACACTTAGAAGTTTTAAGTCAAACGCTAAAATTAAGCTACGATGGAAAATTAAAAAATAGGCGAGAGTTGAAAATAATTAACAAGATTAACATAAAATTGCAGCTGCTGAACCAAACAAGCCTCCAAAGTACACATTCTGCCCGCAGAGTGGGCTGAATTATACTGCTCCTCGTCTGAAAACGTCTGTTAAGGTGACATGGAGAAAACCCATTGCCAAGGATGACAAGAAAGTGGTCAGGTACATGAAAGATTTTTTTTTTAAACTCATCAAATAATTTGAGAATGATAAGTTTGCAGATTAATTTCGAATTTTGTCTTTCTGTCTCACAATCAATATTATTGCTTTCCATTACACTTTTTTGAAGTCCTAGTTCAAATTAATTATTCTCTTATTTTAAAACAATAGTCTTTTCAAAGTTCAAAGGTCAAGATAAAAAAACCTTTTTTAATGCTTAGTTTTGATTTATATCTGAGAAAACTTGTATATACGTGAAAGGAAAGGAAAAGTCATGTCATTCTTGAATCAGACAACAAATAATTATTTATGAATGACGTTTATATATTTGGAAATTATTCATTAAAAACCATTTACAGACCTTTTATCAAGCTTTTCATTTATAATTTAAAATTTAATTGATGTTAGTATCATTTTACACTCAGTGAAACCTCAAATTACCAAAATGGAATGGTATTTCAAGGGATTCCCCAGGGGATAAGGTATGACGTAAGTTATGTCGCTAAAGATGTCACTGGTGCTAAAGATGTGTGCACATTCTGGTTTACAGTAAAATGTAAGTTCACTTTCTAACGCCTTTTAAATTTTTCTAAGTTCAACAAACGAGCGAAGTAGAATTTCTAAAGCTTTCTGATAATGCTCCTTAAAATGATTTATCAAAACTGTTTCAAAACTTTTCTTTCTTAGCTTTTCTTTCTACTAATGTCTTTGTTTAAAATTCATTATCTTTAAGATTTATCATGTGAAACACTCTACCCGCCAATGTACGGAATACAACACTGTTCCCATAACAACATCCTAGGTTCCGAGTGTAAGGCGATGTGCTTTGAAGGATACGAAATAGTAAATGATAGTGATACATCAACTTGTCAAGAAGACGGATATTGGGACAACCAGCCTGTATGCCAAAGTATGTATCTAAAACATATTGAATGAGAAAGTCTATTTAACTATTAATTCAAGAATCACATTAACGACCAGTCCATGAGCATAACTCGCCGAGCATTTTTATTATAATCAAATTCAAAAATATATGGGTAAAATTAGGTTCTGTAAATTTTGATGCAATTCGTTAAATTTTCTTCCCAGTTATTTCTAAAATCTTTCAGCTTTAAGTCACTGTTAGAACCTTTTAATTTGTGGTTTATAACTAAAAAACGAACTGCAAATGGTTGCTTTTGTCACCTAAAACGTTAGCTTGACATTTCGATTTCATTTGTGTTTAAATATCATTTATAATTGTTATGAAACAGCTTTATCAAAAAATCATTACATAAAAAACATTTCCCTGAAATCTGTTTCAAATATTGTCTTTTTTTACATGTTAAGCAGCAATGCCCCCAGATTAATGCTATTTCTCATGAAAAATTTGAAAATGTATTACAAAGTAAAATATGGTCAAGTGAACAAAAAAGTAACGAACGCATTGCAAACGTCACTAAAAATCTATGAAAATTACCAAAAGAATACAAATAGGACGGAATTTTGCAAAAAAGCCCGTACTGCGTTAGTCAAGCAATAGAAATATTGCAATATATACTGTAAAGTCAGTCATTAATTATATATATATCATGTAAATAATTACTTGGATTGCGAATATTTTTGTTTGTTTTAAAATCTTAGTAGGGTTGATTTTCTTGAAAGATTTTAGCTCATCTTAAAGCATGTGGCTTAAGAAGAAAAAAAGCAATTAAACATTTTAAAGATATATCAAATGTTAAATGAAATATTAAATATATCATTCTACACTTACATGTGATAGTTCTAGAATAATCTATGAGTAAACTGTAAGGTTATGTTAATATATTTAGAGATTGTCTGCGTTCCACCATTTAACATAGAAAATGGTAAAGTTGAATGTGAAAGCGAAGCGTATACATTCGAAAGCGAATGTTCATTTATATGTGACAGCGGATATGGGCTTATTGGTCCTTCAAGAATGGAGTGTCAGGCAGATAGAACATGGTCAGTCGCTAATTCTACCGTCTTATGTAAAGGTATGTATAAGTGTTTAAATTCTTGATAAACGATAATTGTTTGCTTATTCCACTACTTAAACGTCTTTAGATACACAAATGAAAAATACAATTTAAGCATATGTTGCCTTTCCATTCAATTTATGCTTCTCAAAAGATGCCCATTTTAAGTAAGGAATCATTTCATACATAAAATATAAGTATATTTGTTATCTTTTATTCATTAAAAAGCTTATTATATTCTCTCTCTATCATTTTTTGATTAAATTGCTGTCCCTCATTCTTTTACCGGCTGTCCCTCTATGCATTTATCTTTATAAGACAATGAGCCACCAGTTATTAGTTGCGTGTCGCCCCAAATTGTTTACGCTGACCGAGGTGGTTTCTCTACATCTGTTCACTGGATTGAGCCTTCGGCTACCGACAATGTAGATAAGAATCCAGTCATCAGAAAATTGACCAACATTTCTCAAGGGGACATTCTATCAGAAAATGACTACATAATATCTTACGAAGCAGTTGATATGGAAGGAAATACGAACGTGTTTGTGTCGAAATGTGATGTGGTTTTAACAGTCAAAGGTTTGTTTAGTTCAGTTAGTTGTTTTGGAGTGAAGATGGATAAAAAAACATTGCAGCTGTTTAAATATTTCAATAACGGTTTTAGTGAAATAAATGATGGAATTACGTATCATGTCGTAAATTCGGTATTTTAAATTATTTCAATCGATGTAAACTTATATTATTCAATTGCTTTCCTAAAAGTATTGAGATTTTATACCACAAAACTAAATTTCTTAGCTATACTATTTCTATAGATATCATTTTACGTTTACTGAAAACATTGTTCGGAAATAAAATGAAAATGTTATGAATATTTATCATAGGTAAGATCCTTAGGATATATATATTTTGTTTCACAGTAATTTCATGTCCGCATGGCCCCAAAGATGAACTGAGTAATTCCCGGTTTATACAAGCTAATTGCAGCGATTCTTTGTACTACGATGGAGTAGTTTGTAATCTTGCATGTGACCTCCAACTTCCATTGAATGGTTCAGACAAGATGACTTGTGAAAGAAACGGAACATCTGACAAAGGCATATGGAACTGGGACTCTGAAGAGCAGCCATTTTGTGAAGGTGTATTTTATCACATCGTTTTATTAATTACAGATATCAAATTTAAAAATAATAATGAAGAAATACTTTGTAACACAATTTTACCAGAACAGATTTAATATCACTTTCAAATTTATGAGACTATTATCGTAACAATTGACAATATGAAATCATTTAATAGTCTATCGTATCTCGAAGTATTTTTACAACATGCACGTATAAATGCATTATTCTTTGATCCTAAAATTATGCATTTGAAAGCATTTTTGTTGTAGAAGAACAGGTTTTGATTTTAAATTTGTTTATTAACAAAGAAAATAAAGATCAATTTTCTATAAGTTACGAGTACAATAGTCGTTTGCTTCAACTGACTTTTTAAAGGATAATTTTCAAGTAAACTTTCCAATTTTTGTTAATCGGACGTCATGTAACAAATGTACAACTTTTGTCTGGTTAAAACGTCTATTATTTGTAATAATAAGGCATGATCAAGGCTACATATTTTGTTATCCTATTCTTAATATTTAATATTGCATGATCTTAACAAGATGGCAGTAGTAACTTACTTTTATTGACCGGTATAACTCATAAAAAACTTGATTATAACAAGAACTTTTACAGGTATTATTGACTGTTCAACTTTAATGATCAACATTACTTGACACATCTGAGCATGATGTATTTTTATATTTTATTTTCATGACGACTCAGATATATCCATGGACAACATAAGCGTTATGCAAGATAGAAAAAAAAACTAGTTTAAATGATTCATTAGAAATTTAATTGTCTTGTTAAACATAAATGACTTGTCAGACATAAGTACGTTATTTAATTGCAATACAGGTAGTCATTGGTATGTGCATTTGTCCAACGATATAGAGTAAGCTAAAATCTTAATCATGCATGGTATGTCAAATGATGTACAAAGTTTACAAACGCTGTAATCATATTGTCAACAAAAGTATGTTGTAAGAATCTGTATGACTCTTTCAAAAAAAAAATATCGGACATACAGATTACATTTATTGTTAAATATTTCACAGTGGTAACATGTCCCCCATTAGAACCTCCAGATAATGGGGCAATGGTTACAGATTCCGTGGCTGCTGTGCCTATCCATATAATGTTTTGCGAAGATGGATACGATATTCCAACTGGAATAAGTTCACAGTTTCAAGGAAGACTAAGTTGTCAGGATAGTGGAGAGTGGTATCCTTTGTCAGAATTTCCTGACTGTATAAGTAAGTCGATTATTTGTTTGTTTCACTCATTCATGACTGTCTATTTTAATTACAGAAGAAAATGATTTTACATTAGTTGCCATATAATTTAAAAATCTTTAAAAGAATCGGCGGAATTTGTGTCATTTTGTCGACGAGTTTAATAATTTTCATATTATATGTCAACGAATGTTTGATTTTGTTATCACATGAATGAAATAAATACAAAGAAATTTGTTTTGACTTCACGCGTTCTTTTTTTTACACCGTTTTGTCTTATGAAACATGTATTTGTGTGTTATATAAAGAAATTCATTATAGTTACATTACATGGTGTCATGTAAAGAATAGTACTGTTATTTTGTATACGTTATGAAAAATATCTTATTCTTTGTCATATTGTATGAAAATTAATGCAGCGAATTTAGCTTTCAAACTTAAATAATGTCATACAAATAATCATTGTTGATGTTTTTATTTCGTTGTCTTTTGCTTTCGCATGACTGTCAATGTACAATACGAATAAAGACACTTAAGAAAAGAACAAAACGAAGCGTTTAGATTAATGTGTATGAGACGTCATTTTGTTATAGTTTTATTATGATAAAATAATGCGTTTTAAATCCATTTAGTACCTGTAATCCCTGTGCTGAGACTTCCAGCAAAACTTAGATATATCGGTAACTGCAGTGACGAATCTACCAAAGATGTAATCAAAAACACAGTTATAGAATACTTGAGGTTTGTGAAAGCTGATGTCGACAAATCAATTTGCGCCGACTTAGAATCTGACACTTGTAAAATTGGAAACGTAAATGTTGAATGCGGAGCAAAAAGCAGAAGGCGGCGTAGAGTCAAAGTCCACGAGATTCAGAAAAGGGATGCTGAAAATGTCTTTATTGTGAATTTTGAAATTTCAATTGCCTTTTATACAAGTGGTAAAGAAGACAATGAAGCTTATTTGGATATTTTAGACAAATTCAATAGTATCACAGCTTTAATGGAAACATATGTCGACGGTGGACAGTTTGATATTGAAAACTTTTCAAGAGCAAACTCCACTTTTCAGACAGAATCACCCCCAAATTTCGTATGCACAGATTCAGGATTTTTATTTGAGTCCACAAGCTTGAAATGCAGCAAGAAATTAACGTTTTTATTGCAATAGCGTTAAAAGATTTATAAAGGCATACTAGTAATTTGGCATGTACGACTTTTCAGAGTCATCCATTCATTTAGTTTTGAACATTCTGATATTATTAATAAATAAATGATGCATAAACAAAAATTTGATTTAAAAATCTACGATTTGGTTCTGCGTTGTATTTAATATGCATGTTTAGATTATGCAGAATCTTATTACACTTGAGGTGCGACACCGATAAACCAAACGTATTTTTTTTATTTCTTACTACAATTACGAGATTTTTGTATTGATAGAGCCATGTCCAAAAGGAACATACCTGAATTCTTCAACAAATATGTGTGAGTTTTGCGAGGTCGGTGAATACATGGATCATGAAGCGGCCACATCTTGTAAAGCATGTCCTTCGGGTTTCAGCACATTGAAAAAAGGGTCTAAAGATGCTGCGGCCTGCTTAAGTAAGTAACAGTAATATATATGTTCCTCGAGAAGTTTTAAAATACGACTGCCTCACTTAAAGCAGTTCTTTTAATTTTCGGATAGTGTTATTTAGTTTAATAATATTTTATTCCTTTTTCTGTCTATACAAAAATAGATACATTATCACATGCAAACAAACGACAAAAAGTAACGAATAAAGTTACTGTAATTACATGGATGGTATAGTAAAAATAAATCAGAGAATTGACCCTTCCCACAATAAATTTTCGGTTTTATCTTGTATGACGAACCAACAATAACGTGCATCTATATGAATATGATATCTTAATATAATGTCTTTTCATTTTCAAGAACTTTGCAAACCTGGCTATGTATCAACAACAACCATGAGTCCATGTTATGCTTGCCCTGTTGGCACATACCAACCTCTTCAAGGCCAGACAACCTGTGAGCCATGTGAGACTGGTCAAGCAACAAGCAAAACAAACAGCACTTCAAAGTCACAATGTCATGCTTTTGATTATTTCCTGAGCAAACTCGAGAAGGAAATTCATCTAGGTTCTTTTGACGCCAGAGATTCAACAAGCATTACTTTGACGACCTGGATCCGACCACTGACTGTCAATAACAAACGTATTTCACTAAAAATTAGGGACAGATACGATGATATTCTAAGTCTTACATTTACAGACCATGTAAATGTGGAATTTGGGTCAAGGTAAAATTTCTGCAAATCTTTAACTCGATGAATACTACGAAAAACAACGTCTTGTATTCTTATTAACCAGTTTATTATCTATATATTTAATGTCACTTACTTGAATTGATTCATTAGATCTAAGTCATGTATCGAAATTAAATCAAAAATATATTCCATTGTAGTTCGTATACCTATGGCGATGCATTGACAAAACAATGGAACCACATTTCGTGTACAGTAAACATGTCATCAGACAGTATAAAATTCTATATCGGTGGAAATCTGTCATTTAGTGAAACAGCAACGACAAACATTAGTACAAATTCAATTTCTGAAGGAAGCATTGTAATAGAAAACCAATCTGAAGGTTAAATTGATTTTTTCATTTCTGCTTAAAAATAAGTTACATTGTTTCGTTTGAAATAGTTTCTCAATAACTGTTTGTAATTGAAAGAAATGGCTGTAAAGTCTTTAAATAAAGACATTGTTTTTAATTATGCTACACCAAAACTTGCTGAACAGTTTTTGTAAGTAGCATGGAAAGTAAATATTTCATAATAACATAATAATAAATTACATGAACAATTGTTATGTACTTTCCAGAAATGTTAGCCGTGCATTTTTAACAGTCAACTAAAATATACTTGATTATTGAATGTATAGCCATTAGCAAATGTATTATTGATGTATTGCAAATTCATGCATACGTTGAAATTAAAACTCATTGAACCAGTTCATCAATATATATATATAATATATATACTATATATACATAGTGTGGCAGCTGTATTTTAAAACTTCTCGTGGATCGAGGAACTTATATATTTATATGTTATTAATATGTATATATTATTAACTCATCATAGAAAATCGATGCAGACATATAACTACCTATAAGTATGCACATAATACAGTGTTCCATGCTATCATTTATTTTTCAATCTTTGGTTGAAGAAAGCTTATTAATGATTTGACTACTTTTTTCATAACTAGGTATATTTATGTCCGGTTTTTCACTTGTTGCAAGTGAAAAAGATTTGAATGACGTCACGCCGTTACTAAATTCATGTGCAACGACGTCAGATGATGCAATATTTTCAATGCAAGATTTGTTTGAAAATCGCATTCAAGGAAGTTCAATACCATCGACGTGTGACCGTAAGTAAATATGGCTTGTTTGTTAGTAAATAATTGTTCACTTGATATATCTATTTTACCTATAAGTAATCCTGATAATTTAATTTCGGATACAATTTATATTTTTTACGTAGATATATATACTAAATGTTTTCAAAATAACAAATGCCCGATATACTAGTAGCACCTAATGCATATGACAAATACACTTAAATTTCTATATTTTAAATATAGTAAGCACAATTTTGTAAGACACAAAACTCAACAAATACCACACGAATATAAACAGACGACCAATCGAAAAGGGATGTGATGATATTGATTAATAAAAATAATTTAACTGACATAAACCCCGACACTCCGATGAAAATATAATCAAATATAACGTTTACAAATCTTTTGTTTATATAACAAATATACAATTAAATCCTTTATCATAAGCATTACATATGGTCGTTTTATAAGTTTGCGCTAAAAATATTCTAAATCATTGCAGCTATAAATGAGTGTGAAACAGGGGTGTGTGGTATTCACACATGTATCAACAAAGTCAATGGTTTTGATTGCGTCTGCAAAAATGGTATGACCGGCACCCTATGTAACATTTCGCCAGATTCTTGTCGTGATAACAAATGTTTGAATGGTGACTGTATTTCTTTGAATGGGACATATAAATGCAGTTGTACCGACGGATATACCGGTCCTTTCTGTAGTCATCCACCAGGTACAATTCAAAATCTAATTCAAAATGTATTGTTTACTTAGATGAAAAGTACATAGTTATTGTCTCATTATATTACTTGTCTATTTAGCCAAGTGTACCCTCATTTATGTTGTTAGGATGGATATGTAATCATATTTCGTATATGTTGTTCAAGTTCGTTTTTATCTAAATTCATATATAGCCAGTTTTAATTATTACAAATTCTCACACTTTCATTTAAAGTTAACGGTGGATGGTCAGAATGGGAGAAATGGAGTGTTTGTTCAGTCTCATGTGATGGAGGATCAAGAACAAGAAGAAGAACATGTAACAATCCCTTGCCGAGTTTCAAGGGAGATAATTGTGACGGAAGTGACACTGAAATCGATTCCTGTAGCGATGCCATCTGTCCATGTAGGAATTTTTCTTTCAGAATTTCAAATATTAGAATGATGGCATATTAAGTTATACTGAAGACACTTAACTGTATCAAATGGTACAGTTTTCAGTATTTTTCATATACCTTTAATAATGCATAATTATAAATCTGATTTGAACAGGTTTTGTTTGTTTGTTTATCTGGTTTTATCATCAACTTTAACATCTGTTTGGTCATATCTCGGCGATTGGTCTTTCCAAGAAGGATTCGTTTCCTGGATAACTAATAAGTAATAGTCAGTTATTATGTAAGTGATCAACTAGTAATCCCACATGTTTTTCTGAATAAGCGTTGAGTGACAAATGACAATTAGACTATTAGACCATGACTAAGATCAATTGCTACAGAAAAGTTTCGCTTTGCTTGAGGATTGAGGGTCGACCCAGCGATCCCTGTATTACAAATCCGATGATCCATCTATTGAACTAAGCGGATGGATGGTTTACTAATGTCTATATTTAGAAGAATGATAAGTACCACTATTCACAGATTGTATTTCATAAAGATCATGTTAAAAACCGCACCGCATTTACATAGGCAAACAGTTAAAACTGAGGGGCAAATGAATTAAAAAAAGGCCGACAAGAGATTTCATTATAAATCATTTTTTTCTTAAATAATGCAAAGTTGACGAAAACTCGCCAGGTTAAAAATTCCCGTCGTTGTCTATGCAAAATTGCAGTACTGTATGAATGGTCAGTACGTTTACGAAATATTGCCACTTTCTTTTCTTTAAAAGTTGAACTGTTTTCTGAATAGTAGAAGTGAATTTCAATTATTGTATGTTTTACCAGCATGTCCAGAACTCGCTAGACAGTTTGGAACAGTTATAACATGCAATGATAAATTAGCTGAACAGTTTGTTTGTTTGTTTATCTGGTTTTATCATCAACTTTAACATCTGTTTGGTCATATCTCGGCGATTGGTCTTTCCAAGAAGGATTCGTTTCCTGGATAACTAATAAGTAATAGTCAGTTATTATGTAAGTGATCAACTAGTAATCCCACATGTTTTTCTGAATAAGCGTTGAGTGACAAATGACAATTAGACTATTAGACCATGACTAAGATCAATTGCTACAGAAAAGTTTCGCTTTGCTTGAGGATTGAGGATCGACCCAGCGATCCCTGTATTACAAATCCGATGATCCATCTATTGAACTAAGCGGATGGATGGTTTACTAATGTCTATATTTAGAAGAATGATAAGTACCACTATTCACAGATTGTATTTCATAAAGATCATGTTAAAAACCGCACCGCATTTACATAGGCAAACAGTTAAAACTGAGGGGCAAATGAATTTAAAAAAGGCCGACAAGAGATTTCATTATAAATCATTTTTTTCTTAAATAATGCAAAGTTGACGAAAACTCGCCAGGTTAAAAATTCCCGTCGTTGTCTATGCAAAATTGCAGTACTGTATGAATGGTCAGTACGTTTACGAAATATTGCCACTTTCTTTTCTTTAAAAGTTGAACTGTTTTCTGAATAGTAGAAGTGAATTTCAATTATTGTATGTTTTACCAGCATGTCCAGAACTCGCTAGACAGTTTGGAACAGTTATTACATGCAATGATAAATTAGCTGAACATAAAGAGTGTAACATGACATGTATACGTGGATCGGTTTTAACAAATGGACAAAAGCCATTCGAAAAATACAGATGTGGTCCTTCAACTGGCTATATTTGGAAGCCAACCGATAAACTGCCATCATGTGTCGGTATGAAGTTTTATTTATTTGCATACCGGTATCTCCACCAAAAAAATGGTTTTGGGGTCCGTTGTCATTATCTTGGCAGGAAAGGTACTTGATGCATACAAGGTACATATAAACGACTTGATATTAAAATATTGTTCTCGGTTTCTCACAAAGAAACAATATATGATATATAGCGACTGTCAAAGTTTACAAGTGTAGGAAGACATCCTTGTAATCAATGTATCATGTTAAACAAGAGTCGTCACTTAAGCAGAACTATCGAAGGTACTTAACTGGAAATATTTCTCACATTAAAGTTATTAAATATCAGATCCTGGTGAAAGTAGAGACAATAGCACAAACTGTCATATGAATTTAAAGTCATCAACATTAGCTACAAGATAACGGATCCTTAGATATAGATAATAGAAAATGTAACTGGTATCAATTTTATTATCATGCCTTTGTTGTGATTTCAAAGTCGATTAGATTTTGTCAGAAAAAATAAGTAGAAAACCCCCAGTTAAACATATATATAAAATCGCCTATACCACTCAAACTCCTGTTTGTGCTTAAGCTTTTTGCAACAGAAAGTATAAAGTACATCTACGGTAAATTATTTTAGTATATTTGGACATGAATTGATATAGATTCATATAATGTGTGACATTACATTGTGCATAAAGAAAAGATATTTGTCTGAATGAATTAGGCAATTCAGTTACATATTTTGGAAACAAAAGATATATCTTTTTAATTTATCAACAAGTTGATTCAACGGTTATAATAATTATATACATCGTATATTTAGTGTGATTTAATTGCTGTAGCAATGCTAATGTTAGGTAATGAAAGTAATCAAAAAATTTCTGTGCAGTCATTGGTAGTCCATTTAAAAACAGATTTTGATTTATTATTTTCAGAGCCCGTAAGTCCAGATAATCTTGGATTACGAGTAAATGCAAGATACACACGCACTATTCCCGACACCAAAGCAGATTATGTCACTTCCGCTGTAGAACAGAGAGCGACTGACAAGATATGTGGATCATGTAAAATTGCAGCCACAGCTGAAAAGGGTAGTTTGTCAAAAAGATCATCTTTGTCTAGTTCTCTAACACTACAGTTTTCAAAAGAGATAGCTGAGAATGGAGATATAGAGCTTGCTAATTATCTAACTGACGGAGCAGGTTAGTGAATATTTATCTGATTTATAAAGTTATTTTAAAAGGTTTCCGTTATTTACTTGTATTATCATACATTGTTGTCACATATCTTTTGGAAAAAAAACACACACTATGTATTTAGAAATTTAACCTTCAGTAGTAGAGTAAACATAACGGTATGAAATGGAATTACTCTTATAGATACATGTATGTATTTTTTCATTTATTACAAACAAGAAACTCCGGCAATGACAGAACTTCTACAGACTCGACAAACAATAAATGACATATATGAGTATATAATCGCAAATTCATCATCAATATTCGATGTTACTGTTGATGGTGTGGACTATACGTCCGACAATGATTCCATTTCTTTCTCCAGAACTATAACATGTGCGGACGGCAACGCAGGGGCTGGAGACTTATGTGGTTATATTTTATTTTGATTATTCAAGGAAAATCAATACTAAATAACTTATTTCAACGTTCATATGGTATAAAGTAAAACAAATAAGAAATACATACTAGTTGGTCATAAAATAAGTCGATTTCAATATATTAATATTATGGATATACAAGTGCTTTGACTTGTAACATATTTCATAAAGATATATTTTACTTTTCAATTATACAGATCTTCACATGACAACTTTTACTAGTAAATGGTATTTTGGTGCTTCATTTGTTTTATTTTAGATATTGTTCTTATATTACATGTTCAGCTAAATGTGCAGCAGGTACAAAATTGAACTTTCCTGACTGTGATAGTTGTGAGACCGGAACTTATCAGCCACTGCAAGGACAAAATCAGTGTTTGCCTTGTCCAGCCGGATATACAACTTCTGCTTACGGTGCCACAAACATATCCGAATGCTCAGGTAATATATTCCAGTACATTCACATGGTCTAATCTGGTTTTGTTAAACGATTTATCATGTGATGATAAATCTTGTATGTTAGCATATTCAGCTGATTTTTGTTCAATAAGTTGCTGAGGTAGATAATGTGAATTTAAAGTGCATACCTTGTTGTAAGCTACGTATCATATTGCACTAAACAATGCATTTCAGTTTAACACGTATGTCGTATGGTCTTTTCAAAGTATGCAATGGCTGTTTTTGCATATAAAAGGAGATAAACAAAAACCTTGATAATTAAGATTTAAGTTAATTTCTGGTGTAAACCAAAGAAACATAGTTCTCAAAGTGCGTACTCACAGTGCCGAAATACATAAATGGCCAATAGAAAGATACACGATAATGATTTACAATAATTACCTGTAAAAGACATAAACAAGCGCCTTGAACTCTTAGATAAATAAAAATCAACAATCTCTAGCGAGAAACATATAAATATATTTATCAAAGTGGGCATATGTGAGATTGTTTGTCTAGGAAGTTTTATAAAAACTGAGGCCCGCATGCAAGTTATGTCTAAATAAAATTAAGTTAATTGTTGTTAGGTTGAATTTGTACGGAAGCCCATAAGTGCCATGTCTAGACTTTGTCTTAGACAATGCACCTTAGTATGAACCTTTGTCTATTATTAGACATTACAAAAAAGCGGCAAAAGGCAATTTTCATCACATCACCCTTCATGACGTGAGGTAAATCTGATAGTGGAAACAGAAGACAAGATTTGTAAGTTTAAATAAAAAGTATGACAACTGTATACTCCAACTGAATAATATGTCTCCCATACAAGGTTAGTTTCGAATATATTGGCCAGCTCAGATGAAAAAATAGGTCACAGGGCACAACAACGATAACGTAAAGTTAAGTATTCAATATTTGCACAACGCAACATTTAAAACATGTGGAAACTATTCTGTAGAGAAATAAAATAGTTCTCCTCAGTAAAGATATAACAAGCGATAAGTCAAACCTAATTACACTAGTTCAAACATAGCAGGCCACTAAAAGAAAATAGACCCAGAACAACATGACTAGATAACTAGGAAGATCCATGATGTAACATATGGACATTCATCTCTAACAACCGTGACACTCTCTTTACAAAGGAAAATACAAAATTTAATATATAATCAAGACAAGTACAAAGCAAATGTGCCGAAGATGAATCTATCAAATGCCAGAGTCAGTAGCAGACAAAAAGTAATCAAAGAAGACTGCTTGGTATAAGTAAATGTTAAAGATTACATAAATTAGATTTGTTATGACTCAAACTTTATATATAGGATAACTGTACAACATGCAACTTCTCATGCACTGTTATTCAGTTCTTCCAAAACTGTAAGGGCATTGCCTAACAACTTGAACACCTCTATCTCTTTGGTGACTCTATGAGTTATCTCCCTTTTAAACTTCTTTTTAATTTTCATTTTCAGTACTGTATCACGGTGCAATTTGATTAAGCAGTCAAATCTACTTATCAACGCCGCCCGAGTATATATCAACAGACCGACGTTTGTTGCGAGCTATGCTTTTCCGTGATTGTGTAGAAAATTTTCAAGCCATATCAAACCCGTCTTTGTTATTTTTTTTTCTCCTAGCAACATTTATATGATTCAAAAAAAGAAAAAAAAAAAAGAAAAGAAACCTACACACTGAGAAATGATGTTTGAATAATTATTGCAATTGACATTTTATACAGCATTGTTTTTAAATTATATATTTTGTCTGACATCTATAAGTATGAATAAGAGCTTATATGTATACGTACTTCTGTTTCCAGATATCACATGTGAATAGTTGGCGTTCCATAGCTTTTGGTTTTGTGCTTGGATACCAACAGGTTAACTCTGTATTAGAGTGACACTTCAACATACCAGACAACAATCGACAGCAGGAAGTACACGACTTGAATTAGTGATACACTATTTTACTGTGGCGTTTTCATATTCGTGAATTATTCTTGTTGTTGTTAAATATTACATGTAAAATATCGTGCGACAGCTTAATAGAGTAACTTAAATGTAACACTACGACTCGAACTGGATACACACCAGATCACATTGTTCTGATTATATTTCCAAGGAAATTGAGACAAGTGGTCAGTGCAATGAGGTTATCGTTCGATGTGGAAACGCTTGACAATGAACATAAATTAAGAAGTTCCTAGAAATAAAGTTCTTCATTTATGAAAACTATGATCCTTGACGGAATTAATTTCGGAAACCCACAGAATTAAAAGACGCAAGTACAGAAATAAAGGGCCAAATTATGTATGGCACGTAGACGGTTACGATAAACTGAAACATATGGCTTTTGTAAAGCACGGTTGCTATTGATGGTTACAGTAGAACCAGTATACTTCGTGGCTAGAAGTGTCCACAAAGTAACAAACACCTGCACGTCATCGCTAGTATATCTGAAGCGCTGAGGACGCGTCGGGTTGTTCCCCGATTTTACGTTGTGATAAGGAAGCGGAAAATTCACTCTGTCTTGCTCACCGTTTTTTCCGTCAATGATATCAGATAGTATCATCGGACTAGAAGTTGTATACAGAAAAAGCGTTCAAACAACGAATAGAGGCGGGGAACATAGGCGCCAAGGAATTCAAATTGGTGATTTCCTTTCTAAAAGATTTAAAAACAATTAAGAGTATGAAATAAATCTACATTATGCGAAATTCCTTCTAATGCACTTGATTCAGCCGACTACATTAAAAAAAAGAATAGCGAATGGAATTACCATCATACGTAAAAGAGAAATTCGAGGTAGCCGAAATGGCAAACCGATTAATGTACTGTTCCGGATTGTTTGGCGGACACATATGGAAAATGTAGACAAAGAGTTGAGCTTTGCAATATCGCTACTAGGACCCACATCATAAAGAATCACAGATTGGTAAACATACTTAAAAGCCTACATCCGCATTCCATGGATGTACAGAGCTTCTAGAACGATACAAGGGAACTACGGAACTTATGATGAAGCCAGAACTAATCTCTCCATATGTTCCGAATAAACTCTTCAAGTATCAAATATTTCATAAATCTTTTAGATCGTTTCGGAACAAGTGCAAGGTGTTTGTAATCAAAACCTTGAACCAACCAGTAAATGTTCAATGAAAAAATGGAGATGGCTCGAAGTAGATCGAAACCCCAAGTCCCTTAGGTTGAGGGGCAACACATTAACCAGAGGCCACCGCCCCCTTCCCTTGGTTAAAAAGAAATGGATGTAGTACGAAACGTAATGTGGTAAGCTGTTCCACCGAACAAAAATGGGTATATGAGTTAAATAAAGGATGTAAAAGCATAATGGAGCAATTTATATCTTACAAAACTTAATCATGCCATAATTCAATTTTGAAAAAAGAAACAAAACCAAATGCTATCAGATAGATCAGATTTAACTTTGAAGTTGCGTAGTGGATTGTAAATTCTGCGATCCTCATTTTGAGTTTAGTGCCTTTGACCAGAACATTTACTTATTGAGGGTCAATCAAAGGACAATTAAGTAATACAAAGAAAGAAAACACAAGCTATTATGATCTGATAGCATAATCTTACACAGGGGCAACCTAGTTACATGCCTTGTTCCAAAAGTGTTCGAGATGCCCGTGCACAAGTAACTTCCAAACATGGCAGATTTTACAGGAATATGTCTTATAATATGTTATAACATGTATAATAAGTATAATTGTCTATGAGGTATAAAATTCAACACAACATGAAAGTAGTTAGTAAAGAAAATACATAAATCATATCTAATTCCTTCCCTTTTATAGGTTTTCCATAAGCTTACCAAACAACCTGAAACTCACTGTGGTACAAACATGAATATAGGTACTAACACGAAATTGTTATCTAAACATGTCCATGTTGTTATTCTCTAAGGTTAAGACTGACAACTTTCAAAAAAATATGTTTTTAAAGGAAAAGCATTTCTCGCTTATAGAATATAAATCTGTTTAACAAAATAATGGTTTTAACCTGAATATATTGACATTATAAGTCTTTAAGTAAAAAATAAACAAGTGTTAACTTAAAACAACTTCTTTCGCATACAAATTTAATATTGAAATCAGTTCATAAGTTTACTTAGATTAAACAAAATGAATACTTATATCAAAGAAACAGGAAATAATTATAGTTTGAAAACAGCCTAATACAAAACCAGAACTTTTATAATGTGATTAATACCCCCGCAAGACTGCTGGAAATGATGGAGTATTAGTAATAGAAATACCTTTTAACAGAATTGAATTGAGTTACATACAGTATTTCAGTTACAGTCTAAATGAAGGTTATGAGATACCCTGTAAAAGTCAGAAAGATTACCTCTTGACACTGCACCAATCTCATGCGCTGACCATTGGTATGAAAAGTGCATAAATAAAACATTAAAGATTAGTTATGTATCCGACAAAAAAAAAATAGTATATACTGCAACTCCTTTCATGTGCTTGAACCAGGTATCGATGTATGAATCCAAACCAAGTTTCAATGTTAGACACTGCAGAAAAAGTAACAAAGGGCTGTAAATTCGAACCTACTTTAAGTTATGCTCCGAAAAATAAAGAATATAAAGGGCAAAACTCTGTATTGTCAAATGGAGTTATGATCTTGGTACGCACTCCCTTTAAGTGCTGACGATTGATGAAATTGTATGAATACAACCAGTAGTTTTCAAGTTATCTCCAAGACAAGGAAAAGAGAACAAAGCCAATAACTAGTATTAGTCAGATGGAGTATGGTTCTTTAGTACTGCAAGACCATGTATGAGTTTAAGGAATTCCACCATGAGTTTCAGATATGCTCCGGACAAGGAAAATCAACGGACCGCTGACCGAACGGCCAACACAAACAATCCAACCAACCGACTGACGACCACCGGTGACGTGCTACATACCCCTAAACTCGGTTCGGGATGAAAATTTATTTAATGTATATTAACTACTCTTGACGTCACAA